AGATAGACACTGGACGCCAGCCAGGACACATGCGATAGGGCACCGGTCGAGCTTCGTGTTGTTCTGGCCCCGTTGTTCTTCCCGGAACCACACCCGGGCCTTTCTGAGCCGACACACCGTCAGCCCGTCATCAGGACACTTGCAAGAGCCCACTGGGCGGCCATGCCTTGGGGGGGCCATGCGTGTGTGCGGTGTGGGTATGTATGGGGTGTGTGTGTGAGGTGTGTGTATGTGTGTGTGTGTGCACACGTGCATGTGTGTGGTGCGTGCGTGTGTGTGCACGTGTGGTGTGCGTGTGCATTTGTTTGCAGCCTTTGCTTGTCTACTTAGTTGTAGATATATATTTTGTGTATATACACACATGTATTTTTGCACAATCATAAGTAGGAAGTTACTGAAAACCGATATAAAAAACTGTCCCAGAAAGACCAGGACAGAAATAGGCAACTTTCTGGATGTAAGATGGTTACAAGTATGCCTTTTTTTTCTCTTTTAAAAAAGCTCCTCACACTGTTTTACACAAGATTCTGTAAGAAGCCTTTTTGTGTGTGCTGACTTTATATATACTACAGATATTGTTTAAAAATAAGATTCAGCAGCATCTGTAACAAGATAGCTACACGTACAAACACAGACATAGGTACCTAATCAACTCTGTGTGTGCACATAATTATCTCAAACGTTTGTCCATCTCTTTGTAATGCATCTCATTTAAAAATCATACATGGAGGAGGGCGCCTGGGGGGTTCAGTTGGATCAGCATCCGACTTTGGCTCAGGTCATGATCTCACAGTCTGTGAGTTCAAGCCCTGCGTTGGTCTCTGTGCTAACAGCTCAGAGCCTGGAGCTGCTTCGGATTCTGTGTCTCCCTCTCTCTGCCCCTCCCCTGCTCTCATGCTCTGTCTCTTTCTCAAAAGTAAATAAACATTAAAAAAAATTTAAAAAATCATACACATGACAGTAAGAATATACCCGTGTGTTGTTCTCTCCCTGGACAGCCATCCTCACAGCTCCTGTGTGACCCAGGGTCAGGTTTAATATCCGTTTAAGGGACAGAGTGCCCTCTGTTTAAGGGACAGTCAGATTGTCCTCCGTTTAAAGGACAGAGTGTCCTCCTCTTCAGGGACAGTCAGAGTGCCCTCCGTTTAAGGGACGTCAGAGTGCCCTCCGTTTAAGGGACAGTCAGAGTGCCCTCCGTTTAAGGGACAGAGTGTCCTCCGTTTAAGGGACAGAGTGTCCTTTCTGAAGAAATCAGCTGAGCTGTTCTGTATGCCCCCAAGTGGTCCACATGTTCCGGACAAAGGGTTCCCACAAGGTTGTTTTTCATATTCTCGTGAATAGGCTGGTTTTAAAAAATTCAAGTTGCGTGCGTGTCCGACGTGGAGGTTGGGAACTTTCCTTCGGGTCCTGTGTCCTGCAGTGGCCGGTGCCTTTGCACAGCAGCGCCTGGCTTCTTGGGGACGCTGGGCGGGAGGCTGACCCCAGGACCTTATCAGGACGTGCGGCCACCCAGCCTGCCACACGCAGAACACGGAGGCACGGAGAGGCAGACGCTGCTCAGGCGCACAGGGTGACAGACACAGACGGGGACCCAGCCCGGTTTGGAGCATCACTAAATAGCAGGAGCGGGGACGGGGCTTGAGAGGACGAGGGACCGACCAGGAGTGCCTGGGCCACGACCGTGTTCTTGTAAAGTGAGCGGCGGCGGGAGCCCTCACCGGTGCCTCCGTCTGCGCCGAGCCTGCGAGGGCGGGAAGGCCCCAGTGTCCCAGGCCGGGTGCTCGTCGTGGAGGAGACGCAGGGGACATGGAGGTGCCCGTCCGAGGTTAAAAGCAGACGAGTGTGAGCCTCCCTTGTTTTAACGAGGATGTGGCGGGATCTACGCAGCCATGGTCTCCACGCGGTGCACGAAGGCGCCAAGGTCAAGGTTGAGGTCAGCAGGGGCAGTTTTCTTTCTCTTTTTTTTAGCGTGTTGTGAAGTGTTTGTGTGGAGCCATCGGAGGCCAGAGCTACGGGGAGGCTTTGGGGAGAACACGTTCTGCCCCAGGAGGACGCCTTAGCTTCTCTTGCTTCTTCCCTGACCTTCCCAAGTGCAGCAATCGGCTCAGGATGACCCAGAGGTCCAGTCTGTGACATGCTGAATAGACCTTCCCTGCAAACCCGCCCCCGCCCCCCAATCAGATGAGGGGGTCAAGTTAAAACAAGTTACAGTTTTCAGCTGTAGGGAGGCAGGGGCAGAGACGGTCGGCCAGTGATGGATTCGGAAAAAACTTGCAAAATGAATGCCAGGAACATGGCGGATGTCTACAATACACAAAGAGCGTTCGCAGGCAGATAAGGTAAAATCCACTTGCACACAAAGCAGGAAAGGACGGGAGGCTCATAGAGGAGCAAGGCGATGGCGGACGAGCGCCAGAGACAGGGCCCTGGGTACTCCCGGCAACCGTGAGGACCAGGCCTACGCAAGCTTCCTTCCTGGGAAGCTGGGCGGCACTCAGGACGGTCAACGAATGGCAGCGATGCGGTGCTTTGTTAGGAGAAAGGCCTCTCGCCCCGAACATTCTGGAGTGTTTGTGGTTGGCGAAGGCACCGGACGTGGTGGCCTGTGGGGCAAGGGGCCCTGTGGCTGCCGGGTCACGTTCACAAAGGCTCACGTCTCCTCTTGGTTCTGGAACCTCCACCGACAGATGGTGGTAGGGGGCCTGGAAACAGCTGTGTCCCCCACCCCCTCAGGCCCTCCCTTACAGCCGGGAGCCTCAGCCGCGTCATCTGCTGTGTTTGCATCAGCTACCCCCGCCTGGACGGAGGGTCCCGGGACCCCAGCCAGCCACCCTCCCTGGTGAATCAGCAAATGCGGGAAAATACATAAAACAGAGGACTCTCAAAGGGAAGCCACTGTTGGTCAGAAAGTCATCTGGGAAGAAGTGCCTTGGACAGTGTGGTGTGGTCACCAGCAGACTGAGTCCCAGGATGGGGCGGGGTGCCTGTCCTCCCCGAGTGCTGTCCCCTTACAGGTGCCGTTTTTTGGGCTAAGGCTGTGGTTTCTTAAGGGACCAATGGCAGGCGTCCTTGTTCAGGGCGTCCCGACTTTGGGCAGGCATACAGGTCCTTCGTGGCCCCCTATTTGAAGCAGCAAACTGTCCCTCTGACCCCATCCCACTGTCCCACTGGAGCGCAGCTCCCAGGGGCCGGGGTTTTCCTGTTCATCAGAGTGGCCTCCAGGCTGCCACAGTCATTGGTCATCGAATGAATGAGTGTGCGGATATATTTGCCCCCACGGAAGCAAATCTCCAAGCTGTGGTAACGCGAGGTGGGGAGAGAAATCCCAGGAGGCCCCATGGAGGAGGCGGCATCCACAGTGAGCTTGACAGACAAGGGGGATTTCAGGGGTGGAAGGAGGAGGACAAGGTGAGGGAATCTGGGGGAGGGGCTGAGAAGGAAGGGTGGTGGGAGGTGGGCAGGACGCCCCCTTTACTGACCTGGCTCAGCGTTGGGAGTGCTGGTGGCCAACGGAGACCCAGCCGTGTGGAAAGGGGCAGTGGACGGTCAGCCCAGGCTCGCTGCTGCTCTGGGGACCCCTTGGCCACAGAAGCCCCAAGTCTGGATTTTTTAGGTGATGTGCCTGGATTTTCAGTATAGACTATATGACTTAAGTCTGAGCCGGCCAGCTGCACAGGGGACACAGCAGGCCTGGGGAGCTCCAGGCGCCAGGCTCCTGAACTTCTCAGGGCTTCGCGGAGAGGTGAGGGGACAAAACCCCTGCCTGGAGATGCTCAGAGAGGAAGAGCCCACGAGTGCCTCCCCTCCAGCTGTGCTGGGCTGGGCATTTGGCGGATTATGTGGCCTTGAGTGGGAAAGTGAGTTTTTATTATCAATTTCCTGACCAGAACCACCTGAAAGGGATTTTTTCCTAAATGCTTTATTTTTTTCTAGACCATTATGAATGCAGTTTAGCAAGAACTTATGGCTGCACGGTGTCCAAGCATGTGCCCGGGACCCCATGAGCGCCACCCAGCCCCCTCCTTTCTTCTCGTTCCTTGCCTCCGGGCAGCTTTCACGCTCTGAGGTGCTGGTCTGCGAGACCCTCCTTCTGGAATCTTCCCTGGGTGGACTCTGAGCACCCCCCCCCCCCCCCCCAGGCGCAGGGACTGTCCTCAGCTTGGTGTCAGAGGCCAAGGTCGGGGTCAGCCCCCGGGGGACACGGTCAGGGGTCAGCCCCCAGGGGACACGTCATACTGTCTGAACGGCCAGCTTGCTTCCTCACCCCACAGACCACTGGCCTTGTTACAGCACTGAACGTGTGCTGAGTGTGGGCCAACATCAACCCAAGAGGAAGAAGGGGGTGTGTGTCTGTGTGTGTGTGCACACGTGTGTGTTTATCTGTAACTCAAAGTGGGGCCAGGAGCCTCACTCTTGAACGTACAGGGTCACACGTCCATTTAGGGATCTTCTTTCTGTATTTTTCATCTTTTCTTGGACCGGAGCTGGCATCCAGAGGCTCCCCCTGGTGTGGCCCAGGTCCTGCTCACTGTCGCCCTGACCCCGGGCGCCAGAGGCCCTTGTTCCGCAGGCCTGGAGCTCCCCAAAGTCTTACCGAGAAACGTGGGTTTGCCTGATGTCAGTTTCTCTTTAAATCTAGTTATGATCCCCCACACTTATTCGTCCTCCCAAATCTCGCTGCGGGAGCCCGCCGGGGCGGAACTCATCCGCACCAACATCATGCCAGTGGCCTGGGTCTTCTGTGGGGTGCCTTGTGTTCAGACTCTCTTTTCCCTCCCTGGAGTAGGGGGGCAGTCACGGCCAGCACAGGGCTGTTGGGGCCACACCCTGAAATCCTCAGGGGTGGGGACCGTGGTCAGGCCCTCCTCACTCCCCGAGCGTCCTGCCTCCCCATAGACGGACCGGGAGGCAGGTCTGGGGACAAGGGGACAGGACGGTAAACACCGCGGGTTCAGATGAAAGGCAGTTACAGACTAAGTGTCCCGCAGGCATTTCTGTACCACGGGGGAAGGACAGGCACCCGCCGCCGGGGTGCCTGGGACAGAAGCTCCCTCATGGCCTCACAGGGAGCCCGGCCTGCTCACACCTGCTTTCGGGATTCTGGGGTCCTGACCCTGAGAGAATGAACTTCTGGTGTTTTCAGCCACCCGTTTGTAACCACAGGAAAGCCGCTCAGCCCCGGGGAGGCCTCCTGGTCTGTCAGTGGGTCTGCAGGACATGAGCGGCTCATCCCAGCTCCCAGCCCACACCGGAGGCTTCCTGCTCTCTCTGAGGGTAGTCAGGGCCCATGTAAATAGACAGAATCTGTCCCAGGTGCCTGTGATGCTGAGGCTGGGGGGGGGCCATCTGAGGGCCACCTTCCAGATGCCGTGGGGCCGCCTGCACAGGGCAGAGGGCAGGAGAGGGGCTAGAGAGGGAGAGGGGTCCAGATCCGGGCTGAGCTCTTGGGGCCGGGTGAAGGCCGGTGTCCTCCATAGAGGGAGAGCCGGCAGGGGGCCCCTGGGGGGTGGAGAGCAGGGCCCAGGCGGACACCCGAGGACAGTGGCTCTCCCTGAAGCTCAGGCTGTGCCCGGGGCCAGGGGGTCAGGGCGGCCGGACAGACGGGGTGCCGAGCACAGGTGTGGCCTCGGCCGGGGCTGACGGGCGTGTGTGGCGCTCAGGCGGCATCTCCGGGTCCCTCGGAGGCCGTCTGTCTGTGCCCCATCCCCGGAGGGCTCCACGCTGATGCAGATGCCCAGCTGGGCACTTTCTCCCCACAGCACCGGTCGTGGGTTCGAGGACATGATGTGCCTGGGAGAGTTTTCAAGACGGAACTGGTGCAGGAGGCATTTTATCATGAGGGGAACTTACCTGGGAGCATGTGCTCACCTTCCGGCCAAGCCCCTGCTGATTCCTGCTGGGAATGCTGGGCCCTCCCGCCTTCTCCTCCGGGACCCCACGCACGGTGCCTAGACCCTACCACCCCCCTGCCCACCGCTCTGCCGGCTGTCTGTGCACCGGGACAGCGTGCGAGCCGTGCGTTCTGGCGTGCCCCTCCTCCTTCTCCAACTCCAACCACTGGGCCAGCACTTTCGCTGGGGGTGGCTTCTGATGACTCACCGTGCAGCTCTCTTCCTGTCTCTTCCGTCACCTGTGACAACCCCCCCCCCCCCCAACCCCAGTGGATCCTGGCGTCTGGGTCCTACTTGATTGCTGCCTGTACTTTTCACTGCCGCTGAGTTTCCTTTCTTCTCATTCGGGACGAGCCCTGGGCCAGGGGTGGGCTCCCCTCGCTCCTTTGCTGAGGGTGACGGCTGGCGGTCCCCTTCCTGCGGCCTCCGGGATCGCAGCCGGGTGGGCGGACCGTGTGTGGAGACGGGCACCACGTGGCCTGCCCTGAGTGTCAGGGTTTTGTTGACTCAGGTGAGTTCTGTCTCCCTGTCGTCCCCACTGTGTGTTTGGGGGCCGCGGCAGATCCGCGGCCCCCTCTCTGGCTCCTCTTTCTGGGACCCCCCCACCGCTCGGCCCCCCAACCCTTCTCTGGTTCTTCACACCAGCTGGATGTGGGTTTTCTACCGAGGATTTTGTCTCCCCGTGCGGGGCCGGCTGCTCTCAGGCACAACGCCCTGAAAAAGAGAAAACACACACACATATGCCTTCTGCCAGTACCACCGCCTCGTCAGTTCCTGTCTGCTTTTGGCAATTTTCCAGTACTTTCCGATAGCTACTTTTTATTTTATTTTATTTTTAATGTTTATTTATTTTTGAGAGAGAGAGAGAGAGAGAGAGAGCAGAGGAGGGGCAGAGAGAGAGGGAGATACAGAATTCGAAGCAGCTCCAGGCTCCGAGCAGCCAGCACAGAGTCCAATGTGGGGCTCGAACCCACAAACTGGGGGATCATGACCTGAGCCAAAGTCGGACGCTTAACCGACTGAACTACCCAGGCAGCCCTTTGGTAGTTCCTTTAACTCTGCCCAGCGGATGCAGGAGGGTGCTCAGCTGTGACAGGCAGCGGGCCCCCAGGACACCCCTTCTGGTCCCGCTCTCGCTGGGTGACCGTGAGGG